TTCAACATCTGCTTTAATACCAGCTTCGGATTTTCAGGTGATGATGATGATTCTGAATCGATTAAATATGATACATTGTTAAGCATCTATTTTTTAGGGATAGTTTGGTAAGAACTTAAACCAGCAAGTAAACAGCACCCGCCATATACCATAATAATTTCATTAAAAGGAACACCTAATTTTGTTAATTGAATTATATCAGTTGTTTTCATGGAATGATTTACTATGTGTCGCTTACCAATATTAATGTCACAATCTTCACATATTTTTTCAATTAAACTATCTAGTGAATTTTTTCCTGGGTTTATACCTGAAAACCACTTGCCTTTTTCAATATTAGTTTTATTTTCTATTCTTTAAAAAAAAATTAGATATTTACAATGATCTGGTCTTCTGTTTCTATAATATATTATGTATGATATATGATGTCATGTACAAGTCGAAATTTACTGTTAGTGTCAGCTGGTATTTCACAAACCCGACCATCATTATCCATATCATCAAGACCACCAGCGTAATTTTTTTCACTAGGAAGCGACACAGTTACACTCTTATCATCATTTAATGCTATCCAAGAAACTTTAAGTTTCTTTAATCTCCTCCACGAAAATTACATAGATATGAAAGGCAAAAGGCCACTTTTTTTTGTGAGGGAAGGGATTTTAATAATGAACGTTCTAAAATATGTAATTATAATATTTCATGGTTTTATAGTGCATCGTATTTTGTTCTTCCAACATTATTGGTATCTTGAATTTGTTTGATCTTGCCCGACAGTGTCTGCCATAAATTTGGATATTTGTTTTTATCAAATAAATTTTCTGCAAAGTTTGATATATCTTGTTGAAATCCTCGTACAATCGCACAAAAACCAACATATAATGAACGCAGCTTATAAAATCTCCATCTTTTTCCCTAACACCAACGAAAATTTACGTAATTCAATTTCTAATCGTTCTTCATTTGCTATATCTTTAACATCACCATCGAAATTGGTTTCCTGACGAAATTGTTAAATAATTTATAAAATCAAAAACTTGATAAAATTACACACCCCATTATTTAAAATAATAATAAGTGATTATTCAAATTACAAATCACAAGAGGCGTATGTACTAGTACCGGACGTGATTTTTTAAAAAAGAATTTTAATAAAAAAAATTAAACGACAACCACACAAGTTTCGATGCCATTCATCCACTAGATTACGAGCTTTCTTGTGCATACGGGACATGCATCGACGGAAGTTATATCTTTTACGCTTATTGGCTTTACTGTTTTACCATATGAATAGAATCCCAGATTCCGTCATGACGCAAGCGTAAGCAATATAACATACTCGCGTCCTGTTTTCCCCATTCAATAACCTCACCACTTTGGTTGTTATACCAGTCATGAAAGTTCTCACTCCTGGATCAAGAGAATGATGTCAGAACCTCGGTTATCAGCCTTAGTTTAGAATACATATG